CGACTGGTGTCAAGGAGCTATTTAAAATTAGAGCTCGGTGGCGCAATTGATTTTGTTTATATCTGATGTGATTAAACACAGTGGAGACCATTTGCTCTTGCAAGAATCACAATCATGGCTTAGATGCAATGCAGGTTAGAAAAATGTCCTCAAGATAATATATGCCATTTGGCGATTGCATTTAACCAAAGTGTCTTATCATGATTGAACACATTTTAATAATGAATGGTGCAGTGAGAACAACCATGATAGCATTGGTGCCTCAATACATCATCAGTGCAAGCAGACAATAATTTAATAGCTTAAAAAAAATCTTAAAATTATGATAAAAGTAAAATCATATGTAATAAAAGTCAGATGAAAGCTCCTTACCTGATATAAGCATCAACTACTCATCTTAATATAATTATAATACATGTACCCACATGTACCCGATTATAGTGCAAGTAGTGACCTTAGATAATTCAATATATTCTCATGTAGGAGCTGTAAAATAAGCAAATAAACATGATTTCACACAGCATTTTTGGACATATTCTGCCACTTATCAGTGATTCAAATCATACCACAACTATAATAAATAATTGTTTGTGAATTTCCCGCATGGATATTGCACATGATGAAGCAGCGCCACAGCAAAAATAGGTCTACTCTCAATGCTAGAGATCCCAGCATACATTTCTCCCCCTTCATTGTGTGAGTCCAGCTCTCTCAATCAAGATATCTGAGTCCTGCTACGAGTCCCTGATTAACACCACTGCTCGTGTAGTTTTGTTTTAACTGTCCTCAGTTAAATGAGAAATTAAGAGGCAAGAGATAGAGGCTAATAGCATTTATTAACCCAGCGTGAACGGGTAGCGGGGCGGCCGCGGTCCTCCACCAGCCCTGTCTAGTCCTGGTGGCTCAGCCAGTGAGGCCCAGAGAGGGGAGTGGAACATAATAAAAACCAACAAATGCACCCAGCTGATTAATGCAGCCCTGTGGCTATAGTAATTATCCCTCTCCACACTCCTCCAGCAGACGAGCCAAACAAGTGTGTGGCAGCGACAGGGAAATGTGCAAATGATGGATCTGTGGGATTCAGGGTTTGTTTAGTGCTGCGTGTTAGTAGTTGGATGAAGACACATTTGTGTTGATTTGGTTCACTCTGGAGGTGGAGCTGAAGCTTTTACACTTACATTTTAGAAGTATATAGTATTTTGGCCTGGTTTGCATTATCGCTGTACAATATTGGTGCTTTTAATGGTATGAATATGTTTTGTATCTTCAAATATGTATTTGATTTTATTTACGAATCAACATCAAAGTTGAAGTGAGAACACATATTTCCAACGTCGTCCCAAAAGGCATACATAAAACATAAAATAAGCAGTAAAATCTTAAAACCAAAACATTAGTGCAAAGTTAACCAAAAAAAGAGGTAGACCTCATTATAGTTAAACATATTAATAACTCAAGTAGAATTAAATTCATAATCTGTCACCTTGACCTCTAAAAGTCCCTCTTATTATTATTAACTTTTATATAACAGTTCTGTATTGCTATAGCTGTTTTATAATGTAATTACTTAATAAAAGTGCAATACAGAAACATGATCAGAATCTTCTTCTTTCTTCTATTTAATTTGATGGCGGATGGTTCAGTGTTGACACTTTATGTAAACTCCTCCTGTGGATGTGGAGTTCTGCACCGCATGTTGCTCTACTTTCCTCAGTATGAATATATTGTTAGTGAAATAGCAGCTATTTACATGACTATCCTAAGCTAATGATAATATTTCTGTCATATTTCAGTTCAAGGGCCTTCACAAGATAAGAGATACGAGATAACACAAATTTACAGCTTTTTTTCTCATTTGAATGGAAACAGTTTGTTTAGTCATAATTTGCAACATTCAAATAAAAACTGAAACCTAAATCTATAACTAACTAATCATTTTAAGCAAAAACCATCACTGACTAAATATATATATTAAAGAAAGAGTTTTTTGTCATATAGCTTATATATATTATCTGATAACTCTTACTAATAACTATCCGTAATGTGATTAAAGCAGTGTAAGGTCATGTGATGAGTTCATTAAAACAGCTATTTGAGTGGAATATGAGTTAAATAAAACTTTACAGCCATCAGTTCCTTTGCAAAACATACAGCCCCATTAATAATTCACACTAGGAAACTACTTTAATAGTTTTCTGTTTTTATTGTGTTGCCTAGTAATTCATTCAATTAATTATATTGTATTAGGGCTGCCACAATATCCAATTTTCATGACAGGATAAATGTGGCCAAAATAATTCACAATATTATTGATATCTATAGAAACTTTAATCTTTAACTTTTATTGTGTGTTTTTTCTTTTTGTCAAATGAATTACACTCAAAACACAAATGGAGGAAGGTGGAGAGAGATTGTAACCGTAACTGTGCAAAAGAGTAAAAAAAGAACAATTACACTGAGTGTGAACCAGAAAGCAAGAATTGAAAGAAACAGAAATGATTTAACAGATAATATTATCATAGGTGTATTTTTACCATATCAATATTTCATTTTGTAACTATGACTGTTATTGTCAATACCAAAATATTGTGATGCTCCTATTTTGTGCATTCTGAATTGTTTTTGCATCAATGTATTTTACAGTCAGTTTTTTGTAGTCAAGAAGTTGACATGCAGCAGTTCCAGCCACAAAGTTAGGAAGGAGCTTCCTGCTGAGCCACCGGGCTGCACGTGGTACAGTGTGTTTGGAGAGGTCAGAAGGTTAGACATAAAAGACCAGTGCGCTCATGAATTAGGAATTTAATTACATACAGCCAGTGTGACAGGGAGATTGTGTCCCTCAACTCAACACAATATGTAATTACTATTTATTGATGGATAATGATTGGTTCTTTTTCACTTTTTAGAAACAAGCTGCTGCTTGCACACACAGTTAAATCTCAGCGTTTCGGATCTGCTTTTAGAGACATTTCGGTCGATAACAATTCACATTTTATATGCACACATTTTTAAGTTGTACTTACTGTTTTAGCCTAAATTTCTCTCCAAAAATAAACCCAATTCCCTTTTCTATCCATCTGTTCTCTATTAAATTAAGACCATATTCCAGCATTCAAAGGCACAAGCAATGGGGAATACATCATTGAGAATGAAAAACAGCAAATGAGAGAAAAACTATTATGAAATCATAAACTGCTGCCTCAAAATGCACAGAATTTAGATCACAGACTCGCTGTGATCTGCTTAAAGGGACACACTCTCGGTCGTAGAGCTGAACACTGTTTTGCTTAAATACAGACTTAATGATTGGATTAATGTTTCTTCGCTTGGCGATAGCGTGATCGTGGGATTACAGACTTGTGCGCTCAATGGATTTCCTGTCAGATGCTATGAAGCCAGGTGTCCCCTCGCTGTGTAAGCTGGCTGGCTGAGAGGGAGGGAGGCAGATGAGCCTTGGACTTACAATATGGCCCACCACAGAAAAGTGGCAACACAGACACAAGAGTGAAACTGCAAAATAAAATGCAGTGAATTATTTAAAAAATGTAATAAATTAAAATAAAACAACCCTGATGAGAACCCTGAGAATGTTAATTCTGATGATGTTTCTCCAGTTAAATTGGGTTTAATTAACCAAATTAGCAGCTTTTCTTCATAAAATGTCCTGTGGAGATTTTTTTACATACATTCTAAACTTTGCATAACTTAATTCTTTAAAAACATCAAAGATAACGTTTCCACATTTATTTTTTATTAAATGAATTCCAGTATTCATCCCTAATGTGAAACCCTACATGTCATGTGAACATTAGCCTTTCCTCTTCTCTCTTCTCTCTGTGCCTCATTAAAAACATAAACATATCTCCTCTATTGATTATGTCTGGATGTCTTAATCAGATCAGCGGGAATATCCTGGTTTTCCTCTGCAGGAAAGTACATTAAATGCCAAAATATTGATCAGAAATTTAATTGAGAATGCACAGCTCCTTTATTAGAGCAATCGCCCTTTGCTCCTGTGACTTTGATATGGACTGACATGAAAAGAAAACGTTCAAATTTATAATTCCTTTTTATTTAAAAGTCTGTTGGGAACCAGAGTCTGTCCTGAGGCTTCTGGCGACACAGCAACGCTGTGATCAATAAGAGCGTGTGATGGGTTTCGCATCGATCAGGAAAATGTGGGTTGATGAAGTGGGTTGGAGGAGGC